TCTTCCTACGGTCATACCTGCAACAAAATATTGTAAGTTGTACCACACACACCTCTGAGTTGTAGCTTTGTTATTAATCGATAACGCACCCATACAATCCTTGGTTGGTGGAGTAAAGCGGTGGTGGGCAGCCTGTCATTCTTCCAAACTGTCTGCAGACCCTGACGGGCAAGTGAATCTCGACCACGTGGAAGAAAATAAGAGGGACGTTGCAGCGATACTCCTCTGACTTGTCCCTAGTGACAGAACTGAGATAGTACTGGAGCTTCGAAGCATCCCAAGGACACCAATGCAACTGAACATTTTGTAATTGAGTTAGGTTGTGATATAGTGTAGATCGAACAAGACACAGGTATGATAGTAAAGAGAGCATAACCTGGTGCTGTGTCAGGACGTCGAGACCGTCCGTGTACTCCCTGTACTTGCGCCTCGCATTCCCTCTAACTAACTCTAATTCCGTCCAGATAAACAAAGCTGTAGGAAGTGTATCCTGCCCGTTGCATTGCTGCATTGAACACAATAATGAATTAGCCATTAATAAACTCATCATATGTAACCATATCGAAGAATATAATAAACCGAAGTACTTACTGGTAAACCAGTATTAAGGGGCCTCCCAACGGGCTATCGTTTCCAACACCAAACCTGGAGTTGGTACGAGCAACCTCCAAGGTTCGCATACCCTGAGGTGCGACGGCAGGCAATGCATAGTTGTCGATACGTCCATGCCAGGACTGTGTTGCCCTAGTTGTACGCCGCTATGTTCTCCCACGGCTGGCGTAGTATGTCAAGGAAGATCCAGCTGATGGTGTTGCCCGAGGCGTCTGGGAAGAGGAAAGCACCAAGAAAGTGCCAGAGCCACACTCGAGTGAACCTATCGATTTGAGCCTCCTCAGTCTGTGGGTCCAAGTAATCAAAGTGCTCCGTGATCCAGGACGACGAAACACCAGAAGTTTTCCTAAAATTTACCAAAGAAAATGAGACCCGATGGTTGCAGGAAAGCAATGTAAGTATTAAATAGGCTTTAATTTCTCACTTATTTTTCTTGGAAGCCTCGTCGTCCGGTGGAAGAAAGCCAGTAAACTGAGCCACCAGCTCCCTCCAGTGATCGTTAGAGTATTCAAATTAACAAAATTCAAATTAACATTATGTAGCATTGCAAAATTTGAACTACTTGTTATGCAATACGAACACAATATGAAAGCATATGTATATATTTAAAGTAACATTAACAGACATATCACGCACTAGTAACATAAACAACTTCACTAGGAATATAAACATTTGACGAAACTTCATGAAGTCATCAAAATCGACGTATCACGCACTAGTAAGTAGCGACATTTGTAAACTAGTATCTATACCCAAAATCCCTAACTAAATAACTAATTATAAACTAAATAATAAATACCTAATCAATCCTTAAACCCAAAATCCTAACTATACTAGAACACACAACCTCAAACCTAAAAAGTACCTACATAAATCACAAACAAATTCACTAACCTAACTATCCTAAATCACTAACTATCCTAAATTTGACAAACTATCATAAATCAATAACAATAATAAAACTCTAACTATCTTAAATTACTAACTACCCTAAATAACTAATTATCCTAAATCACTAATTATCCTAAAACAATAATAATCAAAATAACATGAAATTGAGAGGGAGGTACCTTAGGAGCGGGCGGCGTTGACGCGCCGGTGTTCGTGGCGCGGCCAGCCCGGGCACGGGCGCGTGCGGGCGCTGGCGGCGGGCGCTGCGTGGCGGCGGGGCGCGTGCAGCTGGCTGCGGGCGATGCGCGGCGGCGGGCGGGCGGGCAGGGATGCGTGCGGGCGGGCGGGCTCGCTCGTGATATTTATTTGGCCCAGCCGCGCCATGCTCCGTGGCGCGGCACTGCCGCGGCAAGATCGGTGGCGCGGCAGAGCCCTGCCACTTCAACGATCGCGATTCTTATCGTCGCCACGTCAGCCCGCTGCCGCGCCAGGGCAATAGACGCGGCCAAAAGTGTTAGTTTAAAAATTAATAGGCAGTGTTAGTTTTAAAATTAGTTTGCAAAAAATGTTAAAATTAAAAAAAAATCGCATGGGGTCTCTGCATGTGCCTGACACAACCAATGTACGAGTAACGAATCTCATATGCATATAAGAACAAGTTGTTTTTAATTTCTGGCATCGATGGTGTAAGCACGTTGTGTTTACAGACACGAAGTAGTACATATGACCTAGTATATATGTAGATAGAAAAGATGCTATAAACTGTGAGTTTAGGGATTAGTTTGTAGACACAAATATATACATCATGTTGGGCAAAAAGAAAACATCCACAAATCACACATAAAAGTATTGCATTTTTTTGGCAGCGCTTTGCCTCTTTACTCCCCCGTCTATAAATAGAGGCCAAAGGAGTGAGACTGGCCCCGTTCGTTGGTCTGAAACTTGGCTGAAACCGGCTGAAAAACGCTGTTCTGGCTGAATTATTGTGAGAGAAAAATATTGTTTCAGCTGAAAAAAACAAGCCGAATATGGAGTAAGCCGAACAGGGCATTATACAAGGAAAGTTAAGACCTTGAATTATGTATTTCACACCCTGAAGAAAGTAGCAAAGCTTCCTATTATTCCTTTTTTTTGTGTTTAATGATGGTCTTGTGATCTTGTGTTTGCTCTTAGCGCTCACATATCAAGAGTTGCCCCTCGAATGATACAGACACGTACATATATAATCAACAACACTCTTGCCTTGTTCATATATACGGCCTATAGTAGTAGTAATGAGAACCTTTCTTGATCGGTCTACCAGCTAATAAGCTATTGATGCTCGTTCACTCGGAACATGCAACAATAGTGACCTGCTCTTCTTTTTAATGCCCTGCAGCTCGGAGCTACAATGTGGATTGGAGAGTAGATACATCGCCATGCCATTCTTAATACCTCCACGAGGCCTCTCGTTTTTTCTTTATGCCTAACCACGTGATGATGGAGCCATTTTTTTCTTACTCAAATGTAAAGTTTGAGGTGATTAGAGTAAACGCGGACCACATGGATCAAAATATCAAGCTTGTGCTTATTAGAATAAATAACATGGAGGAGAATGCTCTGACATTTAGTGGTTAATATAATATATGGAGAGAAGAAGCTCTCTAATCCTACAACAGAGACCCTGTATTTGTGCACGCTCATGACCGCTAGGTACTAAAAGGATACGTCAGGGATAACCAAACTATATTGTTGGACCAAACTATATTGTTGACCCCTTAATAGACGTGCACGCGTCGGGAGGGATAGTGACGCACGCCCATCGTCTTCCTCCTCTATCCCACATCTCTTCTTCCTCCCTACCCATCTTCCTCCTCCCTCCCCGCCCGGCCCACCGCCACCGGGCCATCCCGCCCACCCCCTAATCCCAATTGGAGAGTTCGTCGGTGACTCCTCGCCCTCGGTGTTGGCTCCGCACACTCACCGGCTCCCTACCGACTCGCTCACCGCCCACAACCCGCCACCACCCTTGGGCCCACGGGTCCTCCTAATCCCTCCGAGCATGGATTTCTTGTAAAAACCTAAAACCGTAAACACCACCACCACCACCACCATCATAGCCTCATCCTCCACTACCATGGCCCGTGGCGACGGCACCGCCAGCCGTCCCTCCCACCGCCTGCCTCCTCCCTTTCGGATTTCATCGGCGTCCTTGTGTGTGTCGCTTGGGGTAGCGATGCACACACACCAAATAAGAATCTAGCTATATTGCTCCACATATGACCCTACCTGCCTCTCATGTGCTAGCAGATTACATTAACAGTGATGTAGGTAGTGACATGTGCTAGGCAGGAGCAAGTCATTTCTACTCCCCCTATCACTCTAATGCTCGTCTCCATTGCTTTTTCCACTGCGCTGCATCGCCTCTGATGCGTCTGCTAGGAGCAAGCAGACGTCCTACTTGCCATGGCCATGGAGCACACATGTACGATGATGCCATGGCCATGGAGATCAATGGGGGCTCCTTGCCGCCACTAGACCGAGGTAGCATAGCGGAGGGCTGAGAGTTGCGAGCTCTGTTTCTTGGAGGCGTAGCACAGGCTTTGAGGGACAATCCAACAGCGTGGCCATAAGTGCGAAAGTGAAATAGCTGTGCTGACTATGTTTAATTGTAGCGAGGGAGGCAAGACTGGGAGAATCAATCTGGATGGCTGAACTGAAGGGATGCGAGTGGTTACATGGTTGCAAGAGGTAATAATATATGACCCTTAAGGAAAATGAAGAGACTAAACCTCTCATCATATCCTTGGTTAAAATAATAAGTGTTCCAGCAATGGTTACTGGAAGAGTCCAATCGCTGCTAGTGGGAGAGGAAGAGGCAGGTGATGGCTATTTTTAGGCCTTAATGCTCGTCATTGGATTTGTGTAGAGGGGAAGAGGCGCGTGTGCAACGTTGAGCAGATCGGAAAATTAGTGGTGATCTAATGGCTAATAGTTTTGATTAGTTTATGAGATGTGGATCGATGTGGAATCAGATAGAATTGATAATGGGATTAGCTTTATAGCATGATATATAGATATGTGCAAGTGTAGTCATTATGCATGTTGAAAATAGCCTCATTTGCACTCTTAAGAACAACACGAGTGAGAAAGCAAACAATCTAGTTATTATATTGATTCCCTGCGTGAATCAAGCTAACCATAAATAGTCAAAGGTTCATTGCAATGGTCCCGGTCATGTATATATATGACATTTCACACAGCAATGTTTGATCTACTTAAAGTTTTTCCCTTCTTGTTTAAAATGGTGTGATATATAAAGTACTTTGTATATGTGATAATGTATGTATACGTGAACACAATCTCTTGTATATGTGATAATTGACCGGAGAGAGTACATTTTATTGTTTATACATGTATATGTCATGTATGTAACTATGTATACGTTTTTTTTTTAGAATCTGTAACTATGTATACGTGAACACAATATTTGATTATACTACTATATATATCATTAACTAACTGGACTGGGCCAGCTGCATGAAGTTGATGGGCGAGGTGTACTGGGCCGGTCCGTCGTAGAACGCCTGGGCCGTGAGAAGACACGCCCGCTGGGCCGGGTGATACCGGTCCCAGAAGACGTGCCCGTCGTGGTCGGTGCAGACGGTGGAGTTGGGCAGGCAGTCAGCCTGCGCCAGCAGCCTGCCGCTCCCGCAGCACGCGCCGGTGATGTCGGTGTACCCCGACGCCCCAGGGTCAGCGAAGGTGTCCTGCGTGAGGCGGAAAGAGTCGGCGAGCGAGTATACGAGGCCCGGCACCCTGGCGGCGAGGCCGGCGAGGAGTGGCCCGAGCGCGTCGTCGAAGCCGGCGGCGAGCTGGTTCAGGCCATCGGCGCACGCGCCCGCCGCGTCCAGCACCCGCACCGCCGGCACTCACCCAACCAGCCCCACGTTGATGATGGCGAACTTCCTCGCGCCCATCGAGTGCAGCTCCTGTGCCATGCGCGCGTATGTAGACGTGTGCAACTGTAAGCTAGCTAAAGCGAAGCAATGGAGGAAGAAGTAGTGATGGCTGTGCATACCGTGATGGTGGCGGAGTAGATGGAGAGGAGGTCGGCGTAGAGGGCGGCGGCGTCGGTCTGCTGCTCCGCGGCTGACCTGTTCCGCGACTGCTCGGCGGCGGTGAACACGAACATGTCGTTGCTGGCGATGCCCATGAGGATGATGGAGTCGGCGAGCAGCTTGTTCACCGCGGCGGCGCCCACCGCGGCGACCATCTTGGTCTTGGTAGCGCTGAAGTACTGCACCTGCGTGGACAACGGGATGCACTTGCCTGCGTTCTGTGCATACATACATGCATGCATGTATAGTTATATGTATATATCTCCATCCAGGGCTGGAAGATGACATATGTACTTACGGTTGAGTCGAGGATGCCAGCATCTGCGGAAGCGTAGCTGACACCAGTGGTGAGAGCGGTGGGCACGAGCAGAAGGCTGGAGTTGGCCACGGACAGATACGGCGGAGGGCTACTCACGAACCCCATGCTCTTCCACTAGTACAGACCTTTGATCCTCGGTCAAAATGAGCTCTAGTTCTGGATTTTTTTGCGCTCGGAACTAAAAATACCTTTAGTCCCGATTGGTGTCTCCAACCGGGACTAAAGGTCACTGTCCCAACGACTACTGCGCCAGACAGAGGTGGCAGGGACCTTTAGTCCCGGTTGGAGCCACCAACCGGGACTAAAGGTATACTTTTACTCCTGGTTGGTGGCTTCAACCGGGAGTAAAGGTCTACTCCAGGGCCGTGGCTGCGCCCGGGGTTGGAAAGTTAATTTTAGTCCCGGTTGGAGCCACCAACCGGGACTAAAGGTCCCCCTTTATATCCCGGCCGTCTCTTTCTTCCTCCCCGAGCCCGAGCTCAGCACATTTTGAAGCTCACTGCACTAGTGTTCTTGCTTCCTCCCTCCCTCCATTGTTCCTCCATCCATTATTCGATTCCTCCATCGATTTCTTCGATTCCTCCGTCGATTCTTCAGTTGTAAAGGTTACCAATCTTATATACTCTCATTTTTCACCATTGTCTTATCTCATTTTGTTCACTATATATATATATGGTTCTTTATTGTGGTTTTTTTCATTTGTAAGCAATTTGAGCTCAAAATCACTTCAAGCTTGCATATTTACATGAAATAAGGTTAAAGTAGCTAGTTGAACTTGCGGACCATGTTCATCTCGGCGAGCACGTTCTCTGCCGAGCGGTAACGGACGTCAAGGAGGAGCTTTGATTCTACGAGGGAGAGCGGCAACGGTCGTGGAAGACCGTGTTCCCTTCCTCATAGAATTGGAGCTCTTCCGTGGCCAAGTACGGTGCCGTCCGGTGGAGAAATGCTCGCCGAGATGATCACGTAAGCAAGGTCAACTAGTACGGATGATTATTTAGTCACATGTCCTGATATCGTCGCAGTAGTCTGTTAATCACCGTACCCAAACGTAGTATATATATAAATATAAACTTAGAAAATAGTTAGAAAATTATAGAAAATCCATACTAGTTGAACTTGCGGACCGTGTTCATCTCGACGAGCACGTTCTCTGCCGAGCGGTAACGGGCGTCAAGGAGAAGCTTTGATTCTACGAGGGAGAGCGGAAACGGTCGTGGAAGACCGTGTTCCCTTCCTCGTAGAATTGGAGCTCTTCCGTGGCCAAGTACGGTGCCGTCTGGTGGAGAAATGCTCACCGAGATGATCACGTAAGCAAGGTCAATTAGTACGGATGGTTATTTATTCACACGTCCCGATATCGTCGCAGTAGTCTATTATGTGTGTACACTCCCATTCTTCTGTTAATTTGCGGAAATATCATGTGAATTACTTACCTGCCGCAGTAAAAGACAAGAACACAATGACCATTAAAAATATCATTGTTTAGAGATATAGATAATTTTATAGTTTCTTAATTTTATTTGTTTATAAAAGGAGAAATTTATAGTGTATTAAAAAATGAGTATAGAGAGTAGATGGCAACTGCTTCCGGGTCCTCGGCCTCTCATGGGTTTCCAAAGCGACTTAGGCCGGGCCTCCCTCTCATTCCATGCGGCAAGTGTCGTGATGAGACGAAGATTGTGATGGAGTACCGAGTGAAGAAGAAGGGTCCCAACAAGGATCGTATCTTCTACAAGTGTCCGGATCGCAATGTGAGTTATTTTATCGTATTTAATGATTATGGTTAGTTTATACCTATTTTCATGATGGTTGTGATTAAAGTTCTAATTTTTTGTTTTAATTTCAGTGGGATGGCAGTGGACGATGTTCAGGCTTCTATTGGGAGGAAGAGTATGTTGAACTCGTGCAAAAATATCTTGCACAACAGGCAGATACGGCGGCTAATGAGGCAGTGATCCAGCCGAAGAAGCCCAAAGATGTTGCACAATCGGGGGATCTGTCTGTTTTAGTTGAGATTGGTCGTGAAATCTTAGTGCTACTGAAATGTATTTTAGCTTTAGTTCTTTTAGTGGTAGTTGGGATTGTCTACATTGTAGCGATGCTTTCATAAATTTATATCTTTTGTGGTGGCACGCATGTTGTATAAATAATTAATTATGATCTAGGTTTTAATATGGTATTTATGTCATATAATGCAGATGAGCCTTCATTGGATGTATAATGCTGATCGCCGCTCCCAAGAGTTCATTGACGGCGTGCATTCTTTGTTACGTGCGGCCGAGGCAAACAAACGCAACGGTTTCATGTGCTGCCCATGTGCCATATGTAAAAATACGGTGGAATATCCTTGCTCAAGGACTCTTCATTCACACTTGTTCAAGTCGGGTTTCATGCCAAACTATATTTGTTGGACAAAGCACGGAGAAACCGGTGTTGTAATGGAAGAAGGTGAAGAAGAACAATGGGACGACAATGATATTATTCCCGATGGTGCGTGCTTCAATAATACTGCAATGGGAGAAGCTGAAGAAGAGGTAGCTGCAGAAGATGAGCCGGCTGATGATCTTTCTCAGGTCATTCGTGACACACAAAGAGAATGTGAAAGTGAAAAGGAGAAGATCAAGTTCGAGCGGATGCTAGAAGATCACAAGAAATTGTTGTACCCAACTTGTGATGCAGGGCAGAAAAAGTTGGGAACCACACTAGAATTGCTGCAATGGAAGGCAAAGAATGGTGTATCTGACAAGGGATTTGGAGAGTTACTAAAAATTCAAAAGAAGATGCTTCCAAAGGACAATGAATTGCCCGCCACTACCTACGAAGCAAAACAAGTTGTCTGTCCTATGGGGCTAGAAATAGAGAAGATACATGCATGTCCTAATGACTGCATCCTGTATCGTGGCAAAGAGTACGAGAAATTGGATGCATGCCCGGTATGCCATGCGTCGCGGTATAAGATCAGGCGAGATGACCCTGGTGATGTTGAGGGCAAACGTCCGCGGAAGAAAATTCCTGCTAAGGTTATGTGGTATGCTCCTATAATACCACGCTTGAAACGTCTATTCAGAAACAAAGAACATGCAAAATTGTTGCGATGGCACAAACAAGACCGTAAGGTAGACAATATGTTGAGACACCCTGCTGATGGGTCCCAATGGAGAGCAATCGACAGAGAATTCCCGGAGTTTGCAAATGACGCAAGAAACTTAAGGTTTGCTTTAAGTACAGATTGTATCAATCCTTTTGAAGAGCAGAACAGTAGTCATAGCACTTGGCCTATTACTCTAAGTATCTACAACATTCCTCCTTGGTTATGCATGAAGTGGAAGTTCATTATGATGCCTGTGCTCATCCAAGGCCCGAAGCAACCTGGCAATGACATCGATGTGTACCTGAGACCACTTATTGACGAACTTCTCATTTTGTGGAATAAAGAAGGTGTACATGTGTGGGATGAGTACAAACAAGAACACTTTGATCTGCGAGCATTGTTGTTCATAACAATCAATGATTGGCCTGCTCTAAGTAATCTTTCAGGTTAGTCAAATAAGGGATATAATGCATGCACACACTGCTTCGGTGATATTAGAGGTGTATTCTTGAAAAAATGTTGAAAGGTCATGTACCTTGGCCATCGTCAATTTCTTTCTGCAAATCACCCCGTAAGAAAGAAAGGCAAGCATTTTAAAGGGAAGGCAGACCACCTGACCAAGCCTCGCAACCAAACCGGTGAGGATGTACTCGATATGGTCAATGATGTGAAAGTCGTCTTTGGAAAAGGACATGGAAGCCAACCTGTTCCGAACAACGCTAACGGTCACGCACCCATGTGGAAGAAGTCCATATTTTGGGACCTACCCTATTGGCAAGTCCTAGAGGTCCGTAGATAGATCGACGTGATGCACCTGACGAAGAATCTTTGTGTGAACCTGCTAGGCTTTATGGGTGTGTATGGAAAGCCTAATGACATATTTGAAGCACGACAGGACCTACGTTGTTTGAGAGAAAGAGACAACCTGCATCCAGAGAAGACAGATGATGGACGCCATTACTTACGTCCTGCTAGCTACACCCTAAGCAAAGAGGAGAAGGAAATCATGTTTGAATGCTTAAACAACATCAAGGTACCATCTGGATTCTCCTCGAATATAAAGGGTATTATAAATGTTGCAGAGAAGAAATTCTGTAACTTAAAGTCCCATGACTGTCACGTTCTCATGACGCAATTACTTCCAGTTGCATTAAGAGGAATTCTACCTCCAAATGTACGTCTAGCCACCGTGAAGCTATGTGCATTTCTCAATGCAATTTCTCATAAGGCAATTGATCCAACTGATCTAGCTAAACTACAGAATGATGTGGTTCAATGTCTCGTCAGCTTTGAGTTGGTGTTCCCTCCTTCCTTCTTTGATATTATGACACACCTCCTAGTTCACCTAGTCAAGGAGATTTTTACTCTCGGTCCTGTGTTCTTACACAACATGTTCCCCTTAGAGAGATTCATGGGAGTCCTGAAGAAATATGTTCACAACCGTGCTCGCCCAGAAGGAAGCATCGCCAAGGGCTATGGAACAGAAGAGGTCATTGAGTTTTGTGTTGACTTTATTCCCGACCTTGACTCGATTGGTGTTTCTGAATCGAGACATGAAAGGAGACTAAGCGGAAAGGGGACACTAGGGAGGAAAACATATATTGGTACGGATGATGATTATTTCAATAAAGCGCACTACACAGTTCTACAGAACTCCTCTTTGGTAGATCCGTATATTGAGACACACAAGGATCTCTTACGATCCGAAGTTTCGAGGAAGATCAAGCTTGGATGACGCGTAAGCACATGGAAACTTTCAGCGGTTGGTTGAAAAAAATGTCAAGGTGATGAGAGCATCCATGAGC